TAGGTCAAGCTGCATGAGTAGTATGTAATGAAAGGTAGGGACTTACAAATGGACAGACAAACTGATGGATGGACAAGGATATTGCACGTTACCCCTCATTCTTTGAAAAGACATCAGATTCCTCTGATATAAGGCATATTTTAGTGGACTTTAAGTGATAACATTTAAAAACTTTACAGATGAAAAAAGAAAATTTTGTATGATTCCGACACTCCTTGAAACGACTTTATGGAACTTTACAGTTAAATACTAACTCGTCTTCATGTTAACTCTTCCAATTATACAATAAATGCAAATAAATTAATTCACCGTGCTGTTTTCAAGTGTGTGATACATGAAAAAGTAATCCTTGGACACCAAAAACTCAAATATTTCATTAGTATTAGATTTTGAAATCTTTTGCAATATTTATTGAAACAGCCATTATGTAATATTTAGATGAATCCATTTAAAAGTGATGTAATTGAATTATAACCTTGTCAAGATGTTTGTATGGATAAATTGCTGTTTGTAACTTGCATGTTTTAAGACTTTTACAGCTTTCTTTTCAGTCCAGTGAGATTTATGTCTTTAATTGAACACATTACTGAGTTTCTAAGCCAATTATGTTATGAATTTTACATTTGAACAAACTCTGTCTGAAAATGTAGAATGTGTTTTTACCTGGAGATCAATATTACTGTATCACATGCATTGATTGAAGTGTAAAACATGCTTATCAAAGGTAAGTATACATATATCTACATATTATCCACATGTGATGTCATTTCCTGTGTTTACAGGTATAGCAATTAACACATAGGTAGGGTAACGGTAAAAATTATTTTGATTTTGGATTTTAACAACAGAAATGTATGTCTGTTCATATATTTTACCTGTTCAGTAAACATGGAAAGAATTGACAATACCTGAGTTTTGTTAATTACTTTGCCAGTGTAGAGTTGTCAGGTGTGGAAAAATTTAATTATAGTTTTTCGGCAGGTAACGCTTTATTTGGTAATCGGGTGTTGATAGGTGTGATCAGTGATTTTCAATGTGGGCAGGACCTCTCTTTTGTCAGGTAAGGGTAGAGTTATCTAACTATTATCAGTAAGTGAAATAAAAAATTACAGGTTCACTGATTCTTTTGTGAGTTTTGCTGTGATTGCTTTTTACTGTAAGGAAAACGATGTCATTAAAACATAGATATTGAATTCTCCATATATTGTTGCCATTTCTATATTTGTAAATGGAATTATTACAGAAGAAATTATTAACAAGGAAAGTGGGAGGGGCTTAGAGTTATTAAAGTTTCAACTTATTATTGAAAGTTCATTGGCGATACAAGCATGTATAAGTATATACTGCATTTGGGTTTTACTAAAAGAGGAAGTTTATAGAAGATTTTGCACTGTATGTAAATAATTTGATGACATCTTTATTAAATTCAAAAAATTATCCCCTAAGGGCCTCTAAAAATCTTTGGAATGTTACCTGTATTGATCAATTGATGTGGGCTTGCATAATAACCCTATCCAATATTGATTCTTTATCTATAGATCTATGTCTGAGGATAAAACTATATAAGGTCACACCAAAACATGATATTAAAACCTATCAATACATAAAATCAACCTTATATATTGTATGTCTTGGACAGGTACATTTGTCAGAACTTGTAGACTTAATTTTTTACCGATTTCATCAATAGCCTGCAGATTAACCTATGATTAAACAGGTGGTTATTTGTTATGATAAGCTGTTCTTATAGGTGAGATGTGTTTTTAAAATTTGACCATGTAGAGCATGTCGGAAAATGTTCAGTAAATAACTTTTAAATCCAGATTATTGAAGTTTCAATGTCTAAAGATATTGAATACATTGAAAAATAATGTAAGGATAGGATCACTTCTAAACCTTTACTGTGTTTAATTGAGGTGTATCAATCATAACAGTTTTAAGTACCAATGACATTCTTTTAAATATGGGCTACTTAATATTTTGAAACAATTTAAAAATAAATGTTTTGCGCACCTGGCCCAAAGGGTAGTCTTAGCTATTGCCATCACTTGGGCTCTATCATCTGTTGTCAGAACCAAACTTGGTCACAATCACCATTGGGGTATTTAGTTTAAAAAATATATTTGATGATTCCTTCTGTCAACCAACATAATACCCAATACTGAAGATTGAACTTAGGGGTCAAATGCATTTAGTTATCACTAAAATCTTGAGAACTAGAGTGTTGCCCTAAAATGACCATTTTAAAACTGTTTTTGTTTTTTTTTTTGCTTTAATTTTGAAAACTGTAATACTCAGGTTGAGAGAAAATTAAAAAGCAAACTTTTCAGATAGAGATCTCCCAATAAGTCAACATAGCACTTGTACTGTATAAGGTTTCAGTGAATTGTCTTCTATGGTGTTATGATTATAGATTGAAGTTATGTTATCATGATTATCTTGTTACAAATTAACGTCACTTTAATTTATTAGTGACATTTTATTTTAGTAAATTTGACTTTTTTTTATAACAAGGCAGAAAGAAAAAAGAAGAAGAATGACTAAGTTGTCATTTGTTTAATTATACATCTGAAGGAAAGTCATTTGTTTAACATACATCTAAAGAAAAAACAACAGGTTGTTGTCTTTAGAAAGAAAAAAAGTTATGAATTATTGTGGTCAAGGTGAAAAAAAAATGTCTTTTAGACACATTACGGCAAAAAATAAGTGATTCAAACTTGACACTCATTCATCAGTTTCATTAATTAGTCTGCTAATGTCACATGATATATGTGAAACTGATTTGTCAACAACACTTTTATACTTATTATAATAATTTACTAATTAATTTATTTCTTAATTATCAGATACTGATAGTTAATGGCAGTCTGTGGTCAAAATATGTCAACAATGTTATAATATAGACACATTGGTATTAAAAAAGTCTATATTTTTGTTTTACTTGAAACCAAATATAACTGACCATTACCTTGACCATTAATACCAGCTGGACACTGAAAGGTGAAAAAAGACTAGAAGTGGTCATTAATTGGCTTGGCCACTCTACCTGCTAGGTAAATTATAACATGGACAGGATAGGAATGTGACAGTGATGTTTTGTTGTACAAATTGACATTGTAAGATAAGAAATATTAAGAGGAATGTACTTCTGTAAGAGTTCAAGTAGTAAAAATTTTTCTGATTATATCGATTTTTTTAAATTTTGGATCTAAAAGTTTAATTCACTTCGAGAGGTAAAGGGCATTATATAAATTACTTTATTTTGAATGTTTTTTGGGACAAATTGTATAAATGTATAAATTGTAATTGCATATTCATTGCTGGGGATAAAACACTTAATTGTCTGTGACGCCTAAATCTAACTGAGTTGTCATCGAACAGAAATTGAAAAGAATATGCAAAGATTGAACTTGTGGTGGAATAAAAATGTTTTGATCAGTGTGATTGATGTTGTGAAGTGAAAATTATGGAAATTAAGTACATGCATTAATAATTAATAATATGCATTTAATCTAATGTTCAAACAAAAGGAAGGTCTTATTTTTACAACAGTCTAATTAAATGACAAAGTATTTCGGCATGCAGATACATGTATTTAACCTTCTGAGGTGATGAAACATTTTGCAATGATTTCATTGTAAATAAATGATAAAGAATTTTAGCTAGTCATAGGTCAGCAAAACCCAAATAAGGTCTTCCTGATTGGTCTGATAATAATCTAAATAATCATAAGATTGTTCTACTTTATTTGTTTATGTGAGTAAAGTTTGAATTGTGGTTTATAATCTGTTGTGTATGTGGTCAGTTGTTACGTAAAGCTGTTATGTTAATGAGCCACACAGATTACTGAGGCATAGCTAACCACAGTAGTGTTGTTCAAATAGTAAAAATGACACATTCGTAATTAAGCTGACCACAATATTTCTAGTTTGTCTATATGACTCACAGAAGATGTTCTAATTGGGGCACATTGTGACTAGCTATTATAAGGATTCCATACTTTAACATTGCACTTCATACATTCATGTAAAAAATGCAATATTAGAGCAATATGTTAGCTGTTTTAGAAAATCAATCTCAGATTGTCACTCGACAACTTTAACTATATTACTATGACAATGTATGATAGAAGTTTTATTAAGGCAGTCAGTGTTGAGTTAGAGGCTTGCAGAAAGCTGCGTGTACTGCCAATCATGAAGTGGACATTTTTAGATCTTTTGGTGTTTCTGTTGGTATTCCTTAAATAGATCTTTGATATAAATAGAGTAGGAATCTGAAAATGGCTTTGACCTAAAATTAACCTTAATGATTTGTACATGTGTTGCTGTCTCATTTGACTCTATAATGTCTGTTCTTAAAGCATGGTTTCATTTGTTTTATATTCAAAGCTCAAATCAAAGTTTTATTTGTCAGTTGTGTTCCTCTTTGCCTTGCTTTCTAGTTTATCTAATACTATCCAAAATCTTGTGTAGATTATGGGTAAAATTGAAAATGTTAGAAAGTTTCAAAATATTCAATTTGTCAGTAATTTTTGGATGAACACAAGTTTACTTTACAAAGTGGACACCTCATTGTGAAAGAACGATAAAAATGAGAATTTTGTTTTATCTTGCTCATAAAAATGACAGCATATTGAACTGACAATAGACTTTAAGTACAGGTCTTTGTTCAAGCCTAATCCATGGATTATTTTTGTATTTAATTATTTCTGACCAACAAAAGTCAGTCCTAATGCCATTTGTTTGTCAAGAGATGAAAATCCAAAGGATTAATTTCATATTAAGGTCGGAACTTAAAATGAAAGTCACCTGAGTTAAGGTTTTGAAATGTACCGTGTATTAAATGACTCCGTTAGATAAACGAAACCATTAGTACAAATTCCTACACTACTATGGAGTGGTACAAAGATTTGTTGACATACTAGGTCTTTGGTCAAACAAATGGGAAAACAAATGCTTTCTCCAACCAGACTGAATTTAACCTTTGTTCTGTCATTTCAGAAGTGAACACTCATTGCAGCAAGAAGTTGGAAGAAGAAATACTAACGTAAGTTATATTTATAATCCTTTACATTCTCACCGTACAATTAAAAGCAAAAAGACAAAAAACCAAAAAAAGGAAAAACCGAATACATACATATAATTAAGTACCATCGAAAAAATAACAGAGAAGGAATAATCACTTCCTGTTTCAGCATAACATTTTATATTCTTAATCGACAAAATTAAATTTCTCAAAAAGCAAACACATGCATGCTTAAAATTGAAATTGCATAACAAATTTGGATTGCACAGCTGTTTATTTAGAAAATCACATTGTTAAACATTGATAAAATAAATTGGTTATGTCACAAGTAATAGAGACTGTTATTAAAGACCCAATGTTCATATTCATACTCCATAACATATTTATAGCCCTTGCACAGTGGCTGAAACTGAAACAGGACCATAAAATAATTTTTTGCTTGGAAAATTTATGCAGTCCTTTGGCATATATATTGGCCCATGCACAGTTTATGTCTGGAAAGAGATTAGTTTGTTAATTCATTTGGTGTACTTATATACAGGTTAGAAACTTTAAATACATGATTTTGGGTAGACAAATTGATGATTTTATAATACTGCTTATTGGCATAATTTAAAAGATTATTGCAGAATTAGAAGTGCAAAAAGTGTATGATTTATTAGGTATTTAAATTTTTTCAATCAAACAGGACATAAATTTTACAGCCATGCATTAACTACATTAAAGGATGGCCATGCACTCTTTGTACTGTTTGCATCTTGGATGCACTTTTGTAGAGAGACTTGCCTATAGGCTGTAGATAGTTTGTCTATCCTTAGATTGATGTGATTGTCATATTTGTAGTCAGCCCAAAAAATGCATGTTGCACTGAAGAAGCAATAATAAAAACTAGTTGGCCCGGGAGTTATATATTTTACAAAGCAAAGGTAGTATTTATTTTACATGTAAACTGAAATAACTAAGAGTTAAAAGACATTTTTCATTTTATTATTTGATACTTAACCTTTAATTTTGTGCACTTGTAGTAGGAAATTAAGTTAGCTTCAAGGTTTTATTTTCTTTTGTGTTATAGTCATGTTAATTTTAACATTATTTGTCCATTAGTCTTCAGGAAGAAGCTGACATTAACATCTGAGTAAATCAACTTTCACTTCATGTTTGCATGTAGTCCTTATAATTTCAAGAATGCTAAAACTAAAAAATGGCATGATCATTATCATTAAATGTTTTTTTTCATTTATTATCCATATCTATGGCAATCTCTGAAGAAAACAGAATGTATATAATTAGCTGTCTTAGCCAGGATAAATATGGTCTGCTAAATTTAAGCATTTTGTAAGTCAAGATTTAAATATTATTTTTGAGGATAACTTTTTTCATGATGCCTTCATAACAATATCACTGCTGGTAATACATGCAGCTATGGGTTCCTTTTAGTAGAAAAACAATTACAACCAAAATTAATAAGTAGTTTACTGGTTAGTAAAAATCTTGGGACACTTTTTAATTGCAATGTTTCATGTTTAAAATGTCTCATTGGCAATCATTCCACATCTTCTTTTTTTTTTATAATTTCATTTTAAAGATCATACAGTAATAACCTATACTTGTTAACTTCTACATCATTTGGTCTCTTGTGGAAAGTAACGTCTCATTGGCAATCATACCACATCTTTTTTATTTTGAATTTGGGACATTTTGATATAAGACGAACAGATCATTAGTATTATGGAACATGTCTCGATTCTGTAGAATTCTGTAAGACATACATCTCTGTCAACCTTGAAATATCTTGTCTTAAAAACTTTGGAAAAACCAAGAATTTCGTATTTGTTTGTAATCATTAAGTATTTATCATAAATTATTCCCAAAAATTATGTAATAAATCTTTTAAATGGTTTAATATCTTATGCAATATTTTTAGCCGTGCTTGAATGATTTTACAAGGCTGCAATTTTCACATTCCTTCGTTACAGGGGTACAGTTATTGCTGTCCAATTAAAAGATTTGTGAAATTGAAAATGGGTAGATTGCCTCTGTCAAGCACATAATGGAGAAACTGTGACATGAATTTCAATTAATTTTAAAGGACCTGTTTAGCGATTGACACCATCAAAACCACAAGAAGTGTCAATTTTATGTATGCAGACAAATAATCTCAAGGTTTTAGTTTGGAGTTTTGGTGCTTGACAAAATATGCAACTTGTGTTTTACATACACTTAGTTTAAAATCATATGGTTTGCTTCAAAATTTAATTTGGTTCAATTTATTAGTTTATACATTTTGATGGTGTACTTTACTTTCAATGCATAGAAGACTGAATGAATGATGTTAGCATTTTATCTTGTTTTGTCTATATTTTTTTTGGATTTCATCTTATCAATACATTTATCCTATATATATCTTTTTATTTTTGTATCCATGCAAACACTATAAGGAAAAATGAACTAATACTGTAGTCGTATTTAGAAATATCTGGAATTTGTCCTAATCATTTTGTTTATCCCACATAAAATACATAAACATCTGTAAGACCCTTTTTTATGCAATCTTGAATTTTGTAAAGGATTTGCTCTTTGTTCCAACATAACTTTCATGTAAAAGTAAAATATTCTTCTAACCATTATTTAATCATAATATTACTAAGATAAACTATAAGCCATCATATTTTTTTAAGAATGGAATGCAAATTTCAGACTGTTACATCAGTTCTTGACACGCCTATGATATATTGAATGGGTTAGGTAACTCTTATATGCAGCTGTTGACAAAAAAGTGCACTTGTATCTGTCTAATATGTCAGCATATTTTCTGTCATGTCTTAGGTTCATTGATTTCGGAATGTGTAAAAGGAAATTGAAATTCAATGTAAATTGATTTCGTTAGTTCGCTTGGGTTTTTAGCATTATGTCATATTACCAAAGGTTCATTTCTCACCGAGATTGGACCAATTTATTTTGTTATAATCCAAACCATACCTTGTTGTAAATTCAGTGGTTCGTATATCAGTGAAATAAACAACTTTTTAAATATGGTGATTTTTAGGGACATCAAAGGTGTTTCCTTGACATTAAAAGGTAGAGTTCCCATTTTATATAACTGTAAATCTATGTTAGATGGGTGAATTGTTTTGTATCTAGTGATTTTAAGGAAATTTATATCTAATACGATTTACATGTATACTGATTTGTTACCTGAATTTATAAGTGGTATGTATTTTTCTTTAGGAATAGGTATAATTTTATTTAGAAATCAAGATAATGTTGTGACATGATAGAAAATGGGTACAGACATATAATTATATGACAAAATTAAAAACATCAAGATACACTCACGTAAATCAAATTATGATTTGAAATAAACTGTTAAAACCTTGACTAAAAATCAGGGGGGACAGATCTGCATAAAAATGATAAAAATTACTGCTTTACTAATTTTCTAATTTTTGTCTCGCCTGTGATGAAAGTCTCAGTATGCGAGACATAGTTATTATACTATCCAGCGGCGGAGTTAACTATTTGTATAAAGCTTTATCTTTCAGAAGGTAGAACCCCTTGATGCTTCATACCTTGTATGCAGATACCTTATGTTACAAAGTTTCCATCTGTCATATGCCCATTGTCCTTGACCTCATTTTCATGGTTCAGTGACTGCTTGAAAAAAAATTACAGTTTTTTTGTCATGTGAATTTCTCACTTATTATGAGTAATAAGATAACTATATTTGGTATATGGGTTTCTTGCAACGTCTTCATGTCTGTAAGACAGGGTTAACCTGACCTCGACCTCAATGTATGGATCAGTGATCAAGGTTAAAGTAACGTGATTATGTCCGTTTCTCATATACTACAAGCAGCAGGTCAGCTATATGTGGTGTATGGAATGATTGTAAGGGGTACATTTCAGACTGGCAGGTTTCATCTGACCTTGACCTCATTTTCATGGTTCATTGGTCACTGTTAATTTTTCGTGTTTTGGTCTGTTTTTCAAGTACTATAAGCAATAGGTCAACTATATTTGGTTTATGGAATGTGTACAATGTCTGTCTAGCCAGTATCATCTGACCTTGACCTCATTTTCCATGGTTCATTGGTTAACATTAAGTTTTTGTGTTTTGGTCTGTTTTTCAATTACCATAAGCAATGGGTCAACTATATTTGGTGTATGGAATAATTGTAAGGTGTACATGTCTGTGTGACAGTTTTTATCTGACCTTGACCTCATTGTCAGGGATCTTTAAAAATGTTAAGTTTATGTGAAACTTGTAGTAAAACTTTTTCTTTAAGACTTTCAACATAAAAATCAATGGTCAGTAAAACAGGCGAGACATTTCAGCGTGTGCACTCTTGTCTTAATAAGTCTCAAACATTGTATCCAGACTAAAAATACATGGTCATTTGTGACAATATTGATAGCAAAAAAACATCTACTGTACTGACTTGATTCGTTTACAACAGAAATTGCTTGTTCATTATAGAGAAACAGACATTAAGCCAAACTTTTGTCCTTTGAAACCCTTTTCTAGAAAGGTCATACAGAGTGACAAGTTAGGATTTAGCTAAAGATTTATATATATATACATGGGAAACAATGTAACTAAAAAGGGCATAAGAAATAAATAAATGAAAAGTATTCAGTAGCCAATTGAAAAAATTTAGCAACATTCCACTTGGTTGTAGTTAGGGTGTTATTGAGTATTCATTTCAGTATATGTTAACATTAAAGTTTATGAAAACACAAATTCTTTCCCAGAATTATTCATACATGCAACTTTAAAATCATTTAGAACTGTAAAATCCTGTTTCATGGTGTATCGGACAAGTTTATTATACTGAAAACAAATACAGAATACTTTTTCATAGTTTGTGTACACAGCATTAAAGTAATATAAATATTTTGGTAATTTTTTCCAAACAAATCACGATTCAGCAGTTTATCAAGGAATGTCGATTAATCAGAAGCTGGCTTTGTACTTCCCACAATGCATTGCTAAGTCTATTATCAGATTGTCATAAGAAAATTTGTAAATTAAGTTCATAAAAGTTTAAAATCTGAAGAGGTTAATATGATCTATTGATTTTAATTGGTTTGATAATGAAAAGGTGTTGGATTTATAATGTTAACAAACAAAATTGGCATAGATCAGCCATTATCGATCAGTCAGAGAGAGACATGTTTTTGAATGTAACATTCCATTTATTTAGGTTTATGACTAATAAGGTGCAATTTAAAATTATATTATAATTAAATTCAGTATCTTCAGTTTGAAAATATAAAAACTCTTCAAACTTTATTTTTCAACATAATTTTATGTGTTTATCTATTCCACTTTTGTAAACTTAAGTGTTAACTGTACTTTGTGGTTTCCTCGTAAAAATGATACATTATTTATCTGCATAAATTTTGCAGTATATGGGAAATTTTGATAATAAAATTGATTTTAAAACTTGATTCACAAGACAATGTTCGGAACCTTTTGTATGTATAACAACATCAAAAGCAATCAATTTTAGCCATGCAGAAATGTTGTATTCATTAAAATTATAATGCACAATTTTTAACAAGATATTCTAAGATTACACTGCCAATAAAAGTAAATTCTAAGATAACACTGCCAATAAAAGTAAAAAGCATTGTGTTGGGCATTGATGGAAACTTGATAGACTCTTCAACCAATGCTATAAATTTACTTTACAACATAAGGAGAAAATTAATGCAGCAGATACCAACATATGAATAATTCACAACAAAACTTTATATTAGTTTGAACTTGATATCAGGAATAAAACTTCATACATGGGAGTCCTTGACTTTGAAAAAAGACCAATTCATTTTACGTTTGATATCTGGAAAGATACTTCTTACATAGGGTCATTAAATATGAAAAACAACTTTTAATTTTGTGTATGATAATCTCTTCATGTGAAAAATTGGCTGAATATGAAATCAATTTCATCTGAAGAAGCAGCTGGTGGTGTGTTTTTATATTTCCAAATATGGTCATGCACATGCAGGCGGTTCCTTTAAAGAACTGATATGGTCATATGGAAGTATAAAATTCATGTGATGTCAGTTCAAACAAAGGATGATAACAGCTCAACTAAAGGTTATCAGTATAATTAAGTCTGTTGTTATTGCAGCAGCGTATCTTGTGTAGCTACCAGACTTGACAGGGAAGGAAAGAGATATTTTATACTTTGAACATTCTAATAGTGCACATTGTTTTATTGGCTGTTATTAATAAAAAAGACACATAAAAAGGCTGTAGACAAGAAGATCTGAAAAAGACATTGTCTACATAGATAAACATCAAAAGACATGCTAACTAAAGCATACATTAGGAAGTGTTGTACAAAAATTATGGATTCATTCAAGTGAGAAATATGGGTGAATATAGAATTAGGATAATTTAATTTGAGAAAGTAAGTTAAGTAACTGTAACATGATGCATAAGTCAAGAAAGAGTGTTTACTTTTTGATAAGGAAATAATTTCTTTCATTGTGTTGTATGATAAAATCTACAAATTGAAGTGTACAAAGTTGATTTTCCAAGAAATTAGATATGAAAAATTGTTAATAAAATGGTTATATACATTTCAGGTTGCTATTACAATTTATTGGCTTGGAAGGATAGTCGAGACCACTTGCAGTGGACCACATTTGGATCAGTCAGCATTTTCCGCCCTTGTTAATATTCATAGAAAGGATATTTTATCAGACAAACCTGCCCAACATGATTCTTTTGAATGTAGTGGATATTCAAGTGCATATAGTTCACATGACGGAAAAGAAGGACCGAGTGATTCTATAGACAGAAAACACAATCGCGATAGTTCATATGATTCTTTTGGATCTTACGGTCATTCTCGCGAATCTAGTTTAACAGAAGAACTGAACATGCCTGTGGGATCAGACATGCGTCGCTATGGGAGCACTTCTTCCCTGAACAGAAGTGGGGAATTAAGATTGTCCTCAAATTTAGAAACATCATATGATGGATTTCATCAAAGTACCCCTGACTTAACAAATGCCCATACAAGGACTTCATCAGTGGACAGCTATGACGATTCACATGGGAATCATTCAAGGCAATCGTCTGATAGTGTTGATATCCCTACTAGAACAATTAAAACTCAACGGAGGGTTAGCCAACCAGATGATCCGTTAAAATTTATAAAATTAAAACCATCGAAAGATTTAGCAAAACAAGCAGTAGAACAGATTACAATGGTTAAGGAGGTTAAACAAGTTAGAAAGACAATAGAAAGAGATGAGGAAGATTGGCAGTCAGTAAGTGTTTTACCCTACAGTAATCTGTTACTTAATAAAGACAAAGGCATTTGGAAGGTTTACTCACTATCACCCATTCTGTGTGAATGGATCTGGTATAGTTACTCTTTACTCGATAGATTCATTTACACTTGTATGCAAATTTGTCCGCCATTACTTAATATCAAACAAGTTCCTGTAAAATTTTGCGTAACAATTTAAAACATTTGATGTCATAATTAAAAAGTGATTGTTGCATGAAGTCAGAAGGTTATTCAGAGACAAAATTAAGGTCTTTCGAAGAAAATTTAGCTAAATACCCAAAGTAAATATGTCTATTTAGGGTGGTTGTCTATCTTTCCTATTTTACCATTAGTTTATTGTACCAATTATTTAAATTTCCGTATGAAATTGTACAAATGTTAAGAAATTTGCAGTAATTTACATCTGACAAACAAAAGAACAAACAAACAGACAAACAGAGACACTATAAGCTAATTATTATGTTTTCTCACATTGACTTACAGCTATACAAGTTTTGATTTGCCTCTCTTGTTAATCTTATTATAAGTCACCAACAATAATGTGTGAACCCTGCTACAGTATCTCGTACATTGTACCTACATGTACTACAATGTACTATACTCCTACCTACACATATTAAAGGGATATAGTTCAACCAGTATTTCTCTATTGAGTAGCATGGTCAGATGTGTTGTTGAACAAACAATATGAATTCTTCATCTACCAACACCAAGATTGGACATCAATTAAAAAGCCCTCATTATTTGAATTATCAGGACTTAAGCCACTTTAAACATGCTTAAGTGGGGACATGCCAATATTTAATTTAAGCTATGTGAGATCACTTGTACCTTTCTCCAACTAGTCAGTAACAAATCATATGCTGTAAATTGTTATTTTTGCAGTAGTTTTATTTTTGGCAGGCAAAAATAAAACTACAGTGAAAATATATCATTGAAACTGAATTCATTAAGGACTAAAAGACCTGGATTCATGAACAAATATACTACCTGAAAACTGCAACCTCAAAGAAGTGCAAATTCAGATTCAGTAGGCATTGAATCGTGATTAAAGGACAGTGTTAAATTTGATCTTTTACAATATCATAATAACTGTTGGCCTCACAAACATGTATCAGACAAAACACTGAGTAGAAATTTAATGCAAATCATATAAGTATGCATTTTATATGTCACCAACAAGGTTTTTTAATAAAGAAAGATATTTTGAACTCCTATTTGTTCAAATCTACTTTTGAATCCCCTTATTTATCATTTACAGCACATTAATTCCTTTTGTATTATTTATTAGCTGTACTTATACAGATAGACATGTATTGTTACTGTCATTGGACACATGCTGTAAGCGGTTGTCTTTTTATTTTAGTTTTATGAGCATACATGCTTATAAACTTTAGAGTGTCAGATGGATAGATAACATGCATAACATTAATCTAGAACTGAATAAATAAAATGATTCATTGGTCCACTTAACCATGTACCAGTAAACCTTGGAAATATACCAAACCGGCATGTGCAGTTAAATTTCAAACCTGAAAATGACCCTTTTTTAAGGGAAAAGTAATTCAAATTTAAAGGTTATATGATACTGGTTTTGTTTTAGGATTATAACAGTTCAAACAGTAATCCATTAAAAAAGAAGTAAACGTTAAGGTGAACATTCATGTACTGTTTTGAGTTAGTATTGCCAATAAAATATCATTCATCAATTTAAGGACTAATTTGATGCATCATTTTCCAAAACTATTTCACCTTATTCATCATGTTCATATGAATGAAAAAATGTTTGTTATACATCAATATGGCAGCAACCCAATAGTCTTCATGATAACTTTTTGAAGCCGGAAGGCGTTACGCTTAATTTTTATGCCCCCGCCGTAGTGGAGGGGGCATTATGTTTTACCCTTGTCCGTCTTTACGTCCGTCTGTACGTACGTCCCAAAATTGGTTTCCTTTCTCTAACTTACTTTAGTTTGCCTCAACCAAATATTATGAAACTTATACACAATACTTATTACCAATAAACACAGATCAAGTTTGAATTTTGGTGGCGTCACTTTTACTGTACTAGAGTTATGCCCCTTTACAAATGGAAAAATTGCAGAATTTTTTCTTTTCCGTTCTCTAACTTTAGTTTGCCTCATCCAAATGTTATGACACTTATACACAATGCTTATTACCACAAAACACAGATCAAGTTTGAATTTGGGTAGCGTCACTTTTACAATTCTAGAGTTATGCCCCTTTACAAATGGAAAAATTGCTGAATTTTTTGTTTCCGTTCTTTATAACTTTAGTTTGCCTCAAGCAAATGATATGAAACTTATACACAATGCTCATTTCAACAAATCTCAGATCAAGTACAAATTTGGATAGTGTCACTTTTACCGTTCTTAAGTTATGTCCCTTTATAACTTTATACGCAAGCGGGGGCATCGTCTGTGTCCCATGGACACATTCCCCATTTATTTGAAAATATATTGCCTGTTGTAGAAATTCTTACATGCTTTGAGTTGGCCCCATAGAAGTTTTACAAACTTGGACTGGTTGGCCTGTGACCAGGGTTTAGACTGACCCAAAGACATACATAAACCCAAAAGATACATTATCATGATTATTACTCTTCATGAATATTAATAAATTTGATGAGATAGTATTTTCTTAACATAAGCACATATTTCATTGTATTTGGCATGCTTTGAAATTTATCACAAAAGAGTATTTTTAGACAAATAAGGTTATGATTATATTTTCACTTTTGAAATGAATGAAAGTTTTTAAATTTTCAATTTAGCTCATAATGTGTGTTTTTGTGTTGGTTATAAATTTTGACAGAGTATTTAATTTTAAGCTTCTTTTGTGAACACGTTCCTTTTATGTTGTATTACATAATCCATTACATGTCAACCTGTAAAGTTTGTGTTCAATAAATAAGTGATTTTGTCAAGGCAAACAAAAGCCCTGAATAGCTGTAGAAGAAATTTGCATGATTTATTTTGCCATGTTAAGCAGACTTAAATCAGGTTTATTTAGTGCTTGCCATCTTTTTGAAATTTTGATAGTTGAATACATGCATTTAATAAGTAAATTGATTTTGTAACTGACCAAGCCCACTATATTATGCTTTTAACATTTTATTTGCATCACTCTGTATAGATAATAAGATTTGATACATATTTCTGGATTTTTTATTTTTAAAATTTATTTTGAAATAATATATATATATAGTATAATTTTTTGTGGAAATTGCTGTTTGATCATACAATGTACAAATGATGTACATATGTCAGATTTGACTTTTCTTTTTTTTTTTGTCTTGCCTGCAACTAAATTGTCACAGTATGCGAGACATAGGGATTACTATTCGACAGTGTTGTAAATTTAATATTTGTAAAAGCTTTATATTTCAAAAGGTAGAAGACCTGGAAGCTTCAATTATTACCTAGTATGCAGATACCTTATCTTACGAAGTTTTATCTGACACATGTCCATTGCCCTTGACCTCATTTTCATGGTTCAGCGACTGGTTGAAAAGAAAATAAAGTTTTTTTTTGTCATGTGAATTTCTCACTTATTATGAGTAATTGCCTGTATTTCAAGTACTGACTAGCAGGGCTGTGACACACTACTTCAGAATCATAGGGAGAAGTGACTTCTCTTTTTGAAACTGATAGGGAGAAGTGATGAGAATTGAAACAGAAGTGCTAGTTCGCTTGCAGAGCTACAATAGGTCAACTATATTTGGTGTATAAACGATTGTAAGGTGTACATGTCTGTCTAGCTGGTATGATCAGACCTTGACCTCATTTCCATGGTCCATTGGTCAATATTAAGTTTTTGTGTTTTGGTCTGTTTTTCAAACTAATAGCAATATAGGTTAGCTATATTTGGTGTATGGAATAATTGTAAGGTGTACATGTCTGTTTTGCAGGTATCATTTGACCTTGACCTCATTTTCATGGTTCATTGGTCAATGTTAAGTTTTTGTCTTTTGGTCTGTTTTTCAATTACCACAAGCAATAGGTTAATTATATTTGGTGTATGGAATAATTGTAAGGTGTACATGTTTATGTATGTCTGACCTAGACATCTAGATGTTTTGGATTTAAACTTATGGTGTAAGGATGTTGTCTTATTAAATTATATGTCTTCTCCTGTACATTCCTTAATAAAAATTAATTTTGTGACTTATCTCCCTCATTTTTGAAATTTTGATTGGTAAAAAGATGTTTCCATATGATAAAATCATGTTTTCATTTTCATTTATAAAATAAATTCTATTTCTACATCAAATTTACAAATTTTAGTTAAAAATAGTTTTGAATAGTTATTGTAATTAGAGTCATGAGAGTTTGCAGTTTATTTTTTTTCATATTTTGTTATTTTCAATGGCAGCTATAAATATGTCTAAAATTTATTCTGTAGAATTTATCAAGTTGGAAGAACAGAAGACGGAGAGTTTCTGCTGCTACCATAGAAAGAGTTGAAGGTGCAGATGATATGAATAAAAGTGAAGAAGAAAAGAAAAAGCCGCCAAAGACCTACGATCAAATAAAAAAAGAAAGGTGAGAGAATGGGAACATTTCTTTAGCTAAAGAGTTAGGCCCAATTCCAGAGATTTGTTTTGTATTTTGATCTAAGCAGCATCAAAGTATAAACAACAGAATAGAGAACTGTGTAATTGTTTAATTTATTTTGATATGCAATTACATCAATGATAATAAGGTCATATATATAGGTAAACTTTGTATATGGGCATGATGGATAAGAATTCCTGCATGTTATACAAACTAATCAATCTTCATAATAAATCACAAGTTAAAACTATAAATTATCAATGAATGTCTGAGAATTGTAAGAAATATAAGACTTATAAATATTCATAAACATGCAAGATTTAGAACACAGTGTACAAAATAAAGATTGCATTTGACATTTATAAAAGTCATGTCGTTCTGTTTCTGCAGTAGCTCCAGCAAACTGTCATAACTCTAGTAAAAATAAATCGAGGAGCACAATTAATTTAACATTTCCTTAGCATGCCCTAAACCCCTTTTCATCAATTTTAATGAAGATTGTTGATTGTTGGTGTTTTAACGCCACTTTTAAGCGCCACATTTGGGCTATTTCGTAGCGGTCAGTTTTTATAGGTGGAGGAAGCCGGAGTGCCCGGAGAAAACCAAGACCTTGGATAGGAAAACTAACAATCCTAGTCAATGAAGATTGGAGTAGAGTGCATCCGCACGAGCGGGGTTCAAACTCACAACCTCAGTGTTGACTGGCTAGTGTCATCATTACAGTAGTAGAACTACTTAGACCACTTGGCCACTGAGGCCCAATTTTAATGAAGAACAGGCCTCACAGTCTTAAAAATTTGTAGTACAATTATCTTACTCAGAAATCATTCAATCAAAATGCTGTATTTTGAGTTTCTTGTACAAATGTTATACTCCAAGTACTGAGTAAAGTTTTATGACTGAAGGCCCAGAAATAAACAGCTTATAGTTTTTTAATTTTTTGTTTTCACAATTAACATGTTATGAAATCTTGTACAGTTCTCAGTTTACCTTTATATGTATATCACACATTATTAGAGCCTTTTCTTTTGGAGTTTTTATGTCAATGTAAAAAATATGTGACTAAATTCATGACTTCAATATCAATTTATCCCTATATAGTCATTTACCTATGGTCTGGAATGTATGATTGTTATTATACACATGATATATCATTGTACAGGCTCCAACATAAATCAATACCTCAAAGAATTTATCGAACTTATTTCAATCAGGACAAATCTAAATTATGTATTTCAAAAGAAGCTTAGCATTGACTTTGTTTGGCTTGTATGATATGATTGTTTAATAAAGTTAGGGTGTACACATATGGTATTGACCAAGAATATTCCATGTGGCACATGTATATGATAACTTAGAAAAAACTATTTCCCTTACTTTTAAAGATTGAGGGGGCCTTGGTGGCCAAGTGGTCCAAGTAGTTCATCTACTATATCACTTAAGTCTGTCAACATTGAGGTCTTTAGTTTAAACCCTGCACATGGCAGGTGTGTCCAACTCCAATCTTTTAAAATTATAATTTTCAATTTTCCTGCTGAAGGCACTTTTTCACATGATAAAACACTTTTTCTTTAGTATGTCTAAAATTCTGAAAGTGACAAGTCATGAAGTGTAGGTGTAAGTCAGTATCCTCTTTCATTCACATTTGAATATTCAATAACTTTTTTTTTTACTTTTGAAAGTTGGAAGGGGGTGGAGGCTATTTTTGAAGACTGTATGATGATCTCTAGATGCCTTTTTGGATTTTTAGTGTCGTTGGGTTGCTGTCTCATTAACAATTTCCCAATATGTAGCTTCTTTTAATCATAGGTCTTTCCATGTATCAAAAATCCTTGCAAATAATTTGTAAAAACTGGAATCATGATGAAAATCCAGTTTCTGACCATATAAGCCTCTGTGATTAAAGTGTCAGGGGCCTAACTAAGAGTAATATAGTACCTATTATTTTGACAAATATTATACGTTGGTTAGCAGTACCATGGGTCTATTGTTATGAAGTTATTACTGTATTTAAACACAGATAATTCAATACTGGATAATTTTTAAACATATTTACCAAGTAATATATGTTTTGTGTTCAATAATTATAAATAAACAAAGAGACGAGACAGACAGCACAGTAAACTTTTGACATTGTTGTGTAAAAGGTTTTTGTTGTATTTCGTCAGGTTGAAGAGATAATGATAAAAAAATCTGAAGTTTTTAAGGTTTTGATTTAAAATATTGAATAGAACTATTGTTATGATATACTGTTATATTCTCTGGGATAATCACATACTTTGGATTCATTAATATTCATGGGATACTGATTTTCGTTGATTTTGTGGTTAGGAGAAATCTACTTATTCAGATACTCGACATACAAATTTTAAGTTACTTTGATGGACGCAAATGATGAAAACATGAAATTAATAACCTGATATAGTCTGGGCTCATACTATTGAAATGACATTTTTTTTATTTGAACCTTGATACCAACGAAAAAATAAATGAATACATGTCAGTATGAAAATGATCCTGGTTATTCTTCTGGCAGAATTCATCAGGCTTTAATACATGTATTAGATGCAATTACACAACTTCTTTACGTGTCAGACTTCAAGTCGAGTCGAGATCTTGTATACCATGTAGAACAAATTTATACTGCAAAAACAGATGATTATGAGTCTACATACATGACCAATTTTATTATATCAGATTGTATGTCAAAAATCTTTATACTATAGCTTCACAAATATTATTACTATTTTTCTAAAAAAAAAAAAAAAAAAGAAAAATTAACATTTTAGCAAAATTTATGAAGATAATGAACATGACTTGCAATTGAGAATGAAGGAATGTTGTGCAATTTACAACTGAAAATAACTACTATACTCTTGCAATATTTGTACACAATTTAGAAAGTAATAGTCCCGAGAACACAGTTATTTCGTAGTGCATTTCTTTTAGACAATAAAGCCAAATTAAAAAAATCGCACCTGCTCTATCTCAAAAAGATTTTTACAGTGTAGTGTACTACTATTGGGACAAATAATATCAAAATTATAGAAAAGTCTACCAGCTCTAACTCAAAATATTGACAATTCTATGTTAAGGGGGTCTAAAATTCAGTTTGACAGCTTCAGGCATACTAGTTTTTGACCTTTTTTAACTGGACCAAATCACTACTTTACATAAAGATTCAGCACCCAAATTTTTTTAACATGTAATTTCATCCCCTTACTTAATATTTCATGCATAAAATATAAAGAAATGAATTTGGAAAGTGTATGAAAAAAATTTGCAAGTTATACACTGTCCACACTAGGGACTATAATTTGTAGACAACGAAAACCTAAGGACGATAACTGTGTCCTCGGACCATATATACATGTATACTTTTCCAAATTGATATCATTGTGCAGCTTCAGTGCAATACAACAAACCTGAGTAATTGGGAGTCCAGGTCTTTTGGTCATAAAACTTCACTCAATACTTGGGAGTGCACCAAATCAGTATTTTGGTTAGTTGATTTCTGAGTTTGAGTATGATAATCATACTCAAAACATTTTTAAATAGCTTAAGCCCTGATATAATCTGGGCCCATACTTAACCAAGAAACCGGGCAGATCAATTGCAGATATCTTTCATGTAAATTTACAATAGCTAATAATAGAATTTATCTTCAAAATGTAACTTATGAGCCCTTATACTGTGAAAATTTTGAAAGATTAACAGTGTGTTCTTTTACATTTAGGATGACTGAAATGTTATAAACATGATAAACTACAAAATTTAACAGTTATTAACACTGAAAGCTTAGTAAAATGTTGCATTGTCTGTCAGGCAAATACTCTAATCAAATCATTTGACAAAGAGGAAGTAAATAAAAATTCTAAAACAATTCCTTCTCCTCATTAACAATGTAACTCAAGGATAAATTCAGACATAAAATTGATCTGTAAGAATTTTTGAAATATCTGATTTGAGTACCTGAGAATTGTTAAGTAAATAGGTTGTCCTTGTTCCCCATTGGTTTATCATGAAGTATGACTAGATTGAAGTAGCTATCAGAGATATTTATGGAGGATGATTACTGAGTTGTTGTAAATTATTTGGTAGTGAAAATGATGTCAAAGTGACTCTTGTAAACAATTGAGACAGTCATAAATAGTTTACATTTGTTTTGGGTAGCGTGTCCTGTGTCTTCGTTGTATCAGTGAAAAAATAATCAAGACTGTATCTTTTATTGAATAAATAGGTCATAAATTTTGTATTTTTTAAAGGATCAAATTGAGAGAAAAAATATAGTAATATATACATTACTTTAGAAAAATTTATAAAGAGAAGTTGATTAGTCAAGTTTGAATAATTTTTTTGTTGTCATTTTGATTTGACAGTTTGCTGTCCTACTGTGTAGTCTGTCCTCAGATTCACAGGTTATGAAATTCCAATTATCTGGCTGATCTCAATCAAATGTTTAACAAATCTCTGAGCCTTAAAGTGTTATAGAATATTTCTAATTATTGTATAGAGTTTGCGTTCCTCAGCTTGAGTTTATCTTGATTTCATACATTTCTTATGGAAAATGGTAAATTTGCCCTAGAATTGTATGAATGTACACATGAATGTGTAATCTTTATTGCACAAGGCAGTCATCCAACTTATCAGTTCTCAGTACAGTATGGACTTGTGGGATGTTTGTGTTTGAGGCCAAGTCATAACCTAACTGGATAATTTGGGATGATGTGACTGGCTTTTAAAAAGTTACATAACATTCCCCTATAGACTTAACAGATAAGTGTTTTGGTGCATGTACATTCAACTTTCAGAAAAATCAAATTAGAATTAACGGTAGCCAACTGCTCTGACTGTAAATCTCTATAAACTAGCTGCATTTTCTCAAATTAACAGTAGCCAACTGCTCTGACTGTCAATCTCTAAACTTAAGCTGCATTTTCTCAAATTAACAGTAGCCAACTGCTCTGACTGTAAATCTCTAAACTAGCTGCATTTTCTCAACTAAAAAACTTTTAAAGTGTATACAGCTGAAAATAATGAAATTTATACTACTATTTTTTTTGGTATTCAATCAATCAATTACATGTGAACATGGTGAATAGTATGTAAAATTTAGTAAATTTTTTCAATATTTTTCAGGGAGAAAAGAAAAAGTGTTGGTCAGTTACCAGTACATTTCTATCCTATAGAAGATAATGAAGATTTGTTATGGGATGTGAAAACACCATCCAAAGCTCCAGCACCAGGAATTTCAGAGGCTATGTCTCGGATAGAAGCAAATCAAACAGAATCTGAACCGCCAAAAAGAGCTCCATTGTTATCTGCCAAAAATAGATCAGTATGTCTGTAATAAAAATAATTAAAAATATTTGAAACATTCAGCATATTGAACATTGAAAAAGCTTCCATGGATCAGTTCTTATATTCCTGTTTAAATTAGATTTGCAAAGATGTTTATGATGTTATAGTTAAGTAAAATTCTACCTTCCATGCAAGTACAGTGATTTTATTTGTGTGGTAAGTCTGCATATCATTGACATAACTCATTGGATGAAAGGAATTACAAGCCAGCTTTGTATACGATCATGGAAACATTATAAGGCCATGAGTACTTGTTTTCGCAGGCTGCATAGATTAAAAAAATTTTTGGCTTCAACATGAATTTTTTTTATAGTACATTATAAAATTTGAAGGTGTAGGAATCATAAAACTTCATGCTATTGTTTGCAATAAATCATACATTAGTGCAGACAAAAATGCACTTAAATTTGTTAAACCATGCTTGGAATGCATAGCAGTAAATTTTGATTACCCTACGTAAATGGCTAGAATGTCTTTATTTGATATAACATGCTATGTTCCATAATATTCTGGTATTCAATCAGTATTTTTCCTAACAGAAAATGTGCCTTTCTGAAAAAAAGAACCCTAATCATGCTAATAGCTATAATGGAGAACAAAAATTTTTTTTTATGAATTATAATTTTTCTTCATAATCTTTCAGCCATGGCGTTGTTTGTTTATTTTCGACTTATGAGTTTGAATGTCCCTTTGATATCTTTCACCTCTCTCCTACAGAAATAACTATACATAAATTTATACATATATCTATAGTGCTTCCTCGTTATACAGCCCTTTAAAATGGGGGTCTCTCACACACATAGTATCTTTGGAATGATCCTTATTTTACTGTTTTTAGAAGCTTTAGTAAGAAATCTGTTGTTTTCGAGGATTCAAATTAAGTAGTTTAGTTGAAATATAGAAATAGGAAGATGTGGTGTGAAGTCAGCCTTCAACAATGAGAAAAAACCCATACTGCATAGAAAGCTATAAAAGGCCCAAAAACTTTTGAAATTCTACATTATATCTTAAGGTTGGAAAGGTCCTACATTCAAGTGGCTTATTCATGTCATTGGTAACAAAATAAGACCAAGTTGAGCATTTATATTTGATGAATTATGTTATAGAAATCTATGGGCAGTGCATTCACAGGATCAGGAGTGTCTATATTGACTGACAGAGACAAGGAAGAGAAGCATACATCTTATAAATCAAAAACAGAAAACAGAAGTAGTCGGACATTAGACGAAAATCATAATGCTGAAAAACCACCAAATCAAAGTGCAAGAAGATTATCTAATAAATTCAGTAGTATGTTGAAAAGTTTTGAAAGTAAGGAAGATAATGATACATCAAAGGTGTATGAAAAACCACCAAGAAAAACATTTGAATTCAGTGTTGACTCCAAATCGGATAAATTTAAGGATCCTAAAATTTTAGATACACAAACTGCTAGATCCACATTACAGCCGAAAAAGAAGGCAGAGCCAACTAGACCGAGGGTAAGATTTTGTTTGTCTCCTTTTATAATTGTTTGGTATTAAATAATTGAAAACATGGTAAATAAGTTGACAGAAGTTGACCTATGAGAAATTGAAACGTATATAGTTACATGTATCACCTAATAAATAAATTGTCCTTTATACACTGATAAACACGTAACAATGGTGGCAGGTCAATTATGTAATCATTGTCTGCTTCGGCATCAGATTTACGAGTGGTGTAAAATTACACATTATGCAATTAATCAACAAATAAATAGAACAGTAGTCACACTAAAAACTTTTAAGTATGTTCTTTTCCAACAATAATCACTGAACAGTAGATGATCTGTGATGGAAACTCATTTATGGTATTGCCATGCATGTAGTGTATTTTGTATGTTTTTTTAGGGCATTTTTTATTGCAGTTGTTGAACAATGAGCAAAAGTATGAGATTAATTATTGCAATCCCATTAAATGTTGCATACAAATTATGCTCTCCAAATTTTGAATACAAGGTTGCCGAAATTATCCCCTCTATTTTCTAGATATCAAAAACATCGCAAAAATTTTTGAATTTACAGTTCTTAATGCATTATAGGCTTATGTTAAAGCTTTCTTTACAGATCATTGATATTGTAGCCAGTCACCTCAGTGGACTGGATGTTAAGCAAAGAAGAACCAGTTATTTACAGGGTTAATCATTATTCAGTGAAACAGTTAATTTACAAATATCTGAAAAGGGAATACATAATTTTCACTATATAGAGTTTGTTAAACCTTTGTAGTTAGTTCAGTTGATGACTGTGTTTAGTATATTGAACAATAGTAACATTGTTATATCACAGTTGTGAAAAATATCCTGCAGAGATGGGATTAAAATTTTAAATCTTGAATCGAAACAAGTATCACGAGTATGTTATACATATGAAATAGGTTAAGCCAAATTTATCCACCCATCTAATCTAAACATTTTTGGATGTTTGTGTTTTGACCAATTTGTTTATGATTTAATTGAAACAATGCCAAATAACTCTTTGGAAATTCTTGATCCTTGTTCCAGATTATTTTATAACTGACACATTTAATTGAAGTGTGATGTCAAAATGCTTACTGGATAGAACTGTGTTCTCTGGAATGTTGATCTGATTAGGGAACCAGATTGATCAAGCCTGGATTGTTTTTGTGGGTGCAAACATTATACACAAGCATGCCAAATATGGAAGTGTTTTTAGCCTCTAAGATGTTTTAATATCATTTATGTTCCCTGTTTGGGTAAATTTGCAAAATGGTATCATTTCAAGCTGTTGTTTTTCAGAATTATATTGAAAAGGATATTAAAATAAAGCAAAAGGCACACAATCCAAAAGGTTTTGGAATAACTGTTATTGGTGGACAAGACAAGAAACAGCCAGTGATTATTGATAAAGTTAACTTAGGTAGGTAAAGAATACTGACAGGGCACTAGTTTTGTTTTGAAAATAGCTGAATCAGCAAATCTTTTTTTTTGTCAGAAAAAATATTTGGACTTTGTAAGTTTGTTTGTATGTTATTAAAGACATTATTTACTTATTGTCATGTTATAATTGTTTGTCACCACTTTTACTATTTCTTCTGTTGAATTAAAAAAATTCCCATTTGACACAAGAAAGCATTACTCCTTCCACCAGATCTTATTGTGTTTAAGTTAGGCTGACCATTATAAAAGGACATTTAAAACATTTTCACATGTAAATAGTGTTTTGATACAATATTTGTATTCATGAAATCTTTCTGGTTGGAGGGTAAGACTTGAGCCAATAATTGGTGGAGGCAATGCATACAAAGACCTGGGGATCTATTTACAAAAAGTCTTACAAATAAAAAATATGTGTATGTCATGATCATTTCAGTATAACTTACGACTGATTTTAATCGTAAGATTTTTTGTTAAAAGAGTTGCAGATGATTAAATTTTGATTTTGTGCATTGAAATTTAATTACTGTGGATTCATTGATATTAAAGGGATACCAGTTTTCGTTGATTTCCTGAGTAGAGAAAAACTGCAAATTTAAATACTTGATGAAATACAAATTTATTTAAACTTTTATAAGAGCAAATGATGAAACCAAAAATTGAGATACATCCCTTTGAAATATCAAATATTTCTCCAACCACAAAATTTGATTTCAACAAATATGAATCCTCAGTCATGATAGTTTTATACTATTTAAGTACATATTCATTGCCTCATTTTGTTTCATCATGTTCCATCATGACCATCATGGTCATAATCACTAGCATCCAACATCATCCCTTCCTGTTCATTGACATTATATCATATCTTAATAGTTAATCTAAACCATTTCTGTTTTCATATACCGTGATGTAAGACATTTTAGAAGAACAAATTGACTGATGTTTTTTTTTAAAAGTACTGAGAGTGCCCTTTTTGGCTACTTTATGTCTTATCTAGATTGGTAATCTGTTTATTTTATAGTTTTTTCTTTTTAGAAATTTATTTGATGCCTTTTTAGCACTGACCTTATCTCTTTCCTCGTTAAAATTTTGATGGCTTTATTTAATTATTTTTAATGTAGGTTATAGATAGTATCATATAAAGTTATTTTTTTTGTATTTAAAAAAAAAATTTGAATAATGATTTCAAGCTCATTTTTGTAAATGGATAAGAAAAGTGTAAAAGGACATCTTTTATATCAACCTTTTAATATTTTTATCTATCTATTGTCCTGGCTTAGGGGTAAAGGTAGACATTTTTTTTTATAAGAAAAAGCTTTTCAATAATTTTTTGTTAGTTTTTTCTTTTAAAATAGTTTACTCATTTACTTATGCTGCATCATGTACATTTTTCGCCAAAGGTGAAGAAACTGATAATCCATTAGAAAAATATTTCATTGGAGCCTTTGTGTCATCATAACATTTTTAAAAACACATAAACACTGATTAATTTGTTTGATTATGGTATCTTAAGACGGACAAAAATAAGTGAACACCCTATTTAACCCTAGTTTGCATATATATAGGTATTTAAGGGATTTGACATTTGATGGAAACTCAAGCTTTGCATAGTTCATGCACAAGTAAATTTTGTATGATTTTGTTATTTGCTCTTAAGATTAAAAGCCAAGACCTAAATGATAAAAAGTAAGATAGTTTTCTGATTAACAGAGGAGTTATAAAAAAAGCTTGAAAAGTTATTAATTAATTGATATTTTACTAAAACGTATTTATAATAGAGACAGAAAAAGTTCAATGTCATTTTAAGTAAGACACGGTCTAGTAAAGTGTCTATAGTAAAGATATTAATTAAGATTTTCAACAAGAAACTATGGCTTAAGACAAACAGGAAAATTATTGCTTTTAAAAAATATAGTTATAAAAGGATATTAATTTGTTCTTAGGGGCAATAGGTGACTTTCTCCTACTGGACAGAATATTTGTCTGACATATTTACGAGTAAATTATGACTACCTTATGGCATAAACATTGCATATGAGTGTTAATAATAGATCATACATAATTAAGTACTAGGTACATAGGACCAAGACATGTCACTTGTCTTCTCAAACAATATATCTACAGTATATAACTGACATACAAATATAACAGCAAAAAACGAAAGAATTTCCATGTCTTTTTTTTCTTTCTCAAAAACATGTCAATATTATTAATAAAGGTCATTTGCAAGGTTAATAATGACTTTTCCTGGTATGTTTGCACTACTTTTTGAGTCATGGTATGGATATTACTAGACAAGGGGTGCCTCTTTGGGAAAAAATAAGTTGTAAGCACCTTGTTTTAATGAAAAAAAGAACGTATAAGATACAGAATGTACCAGAATCTAAAATAACTTCTATCTTTGAAAATGTTCCTGGCTTATATAGACTATACCTCACCCCATTCCAAGTTCATTTCAGTCTAACCCCATATTCTTCCTGCAACTTAAGTACAGCATTCCCAGTTCATTACAGACACATCCACATTATGCCTGCAACCTAAATACAGCCTTATGGGTCTGCATTAGGAGGGGATCTTCATTTTCATATTCTCTAATATTTTAGGCCATTTTTCTCTAATCTGTATATTTTGTTTATTATTGTCTATTCCTTCATATTTTAGCCCCCCTTATTATCCATTCTTTATTTGTTTTGGTCCACTTTTTTTTTAATTCTTTGTTATTTTGTGCCCATTATTCTCCTTTCTGCAAACCCCATTCATGCCCTCTTATAGATCATGCTCTGTGTATGATTTTAGATGAATCCCAAAAATCTTTTCCTCATTTATGATATCATACATGTATTTATCATTGTCATTTCATTATTCAAAACAGATTCAGGTGTTTCTATATTTATAGATGGTGAGTAGACATAGTTACCAACACTGGTAACTAAGGTGAAGGGTCACAGGGCACAACCACACTTTTTTAGGTCACTTTAATAACACCTGACTATGCTCAAACTAACAGTTTTTATTTGAAATATTTTTTTAAAGCCAGTTTGAAACAAGGAATAAATTTCAATCTTTTTTGAAACAAGGAATATATTTCAATCTTTTAGAAACACATTTGTCTTATATATTCTGAAGGTTCATATTTTCTTCTATAGATCATTTAAAATTCTACTTCTTTCATGACTGTTATCTTTCAAGGTCAAACTTGTTTACATGTAAACCTGAAACATACATTACAATAAATAATGGCATAGTTTGTTATTTATCACCTAACTTCTGGCTAAAACACATTGTAACATTACACCATTTATAATAATACTTGTCAAGCTAATTTGTATTAATCTTAGGAAATATTTATATACATTATATTTTCTGTTTCATATTTTGTCCTATTTATTAACTGTGTACCACCCCATAACACATGTCATATTTATAACATTTATCTGTCTGTTAATAATATTTTTCGGTCATATTACATTTTTCGGTCATATTACATTTTTCATGCATATTTGTTCATAAACCATAACATACAAATGTAAAACCGGTTTCTAAATGAATAAAAGAAGAAGTTATAGGTAAATATGTCAACGAATACAGCAACCCAACAAAGCAAATAAACAAAAGACATCCAGGGGTCAACATACATTATATTCATCTATCTGTATAACTGATGAAAAATGCCTATCTCAAGCATGGGAAAATTTCCCGACATAATGTAATATGAACTGATATATGCAAGCCTTGCATATAAAACTTCAAATCAAGCACATAAACTTAGAAATTAAACAGTATTCCATCCTTGTAAATTGAAGACCTGCCTAATCCACACTTTTATGAAAACACTGAATGATACTTAATATTCTAAAATTAGTTGGAATGTATGGAATTAAATTCCTAGAAGAATAAAATTAGGTTGGTTTTCATTTAGTTTAAATATCTGAAAACATTTTTTTCTTCTATCTATCTTTAATATCTAACATGCTAACTTTTTCATTCATTTTCCTTTTTATTCTCTTCATATTTCTACAATAGACTTCTCTCTGTTGGAAAAGTTCAGCAAGTTCATTGTACTGTTTCTGTTTAAGATATGTCGTAATTAACATTACACATAGGGTGATCTTTATTTATATAATATGCATACATACCTTTAGTATTCTTCTTGTTACTTTTATACAGATATTTATACTGTTATTATGCTATTATTTGGCATGCATTTTGGTACTGAGCATAGCAAAAGTTAAGCTAGCATATTAATGGCATTGATATCATAGGTTGTACTATCAGTTATGTCGTCAGTGACATTCAATTTAATAATGATCACAATCATCATGGATAGGAAAAATATTTTTCATGTCTGGTTGAATATATTCCTCCCCTCTGCTTGAAGAGAAAGATTTTAATAATAGAATTATGTAAGAATTATAACTATTTGGCAAGTGACAACATATATTTAACACATATATTAGTACACACATTTTAATTAAATATTTTCTTCTTTTTAGGTAGTGCTGCAGATGTATGTGAAGTACAAGCCAAAGACGAAATCATTTCTGTAAATAACCGTGATATCGGCATCATGACACAAGCCATGGTTCGTAAGGTCATTGATGATGCTAACAAGAAAGGAGAGTTAGAAATCCGTGTTAGGAGATATAACGCAGGTTTGTTACTAATGACACATGTATGGATGATGTTTGAAATGATGTTTTACTTGATAACAAAATTTAAATTGAAATCAGTAACAAAATTCCTCAAATTCTTTAAAATTTTCAAATATTTCAGCTTCAGGACATTGATTTGTGTTGAAGACCGTACTTTGACCTATAATGGTTTACTTTTATAAATTTTGATTTGGATGGAGAGTTGTCTCATTGGCACTCATACCACATCTTCTTATATCTAATTACAGATATTATTGAATTGAAAAATATATAATACAAAAACAAAACAGAAAACGGTTACCGTATGAAAAAAACACCAAATGTTTTGACAAATACTTGTAGTTACTGAAACCAAGCAAGAACTTAAGGGGATGGATGATAAAACATTACACCAGTGTTAACTTATCTTCTCTCAACAGGCCAAACTGTAGCCTTTGAATTTTACTAATAACTAATTTTATATAAACATTTTGTATCAATATTGCTCAGCTGAAACAAACTTCTTGGGATGACTTTAGTGAAATTTGGGTTTCAACACCTGGTATTAACAGCTCTCCATAGTTTAAAATAGAATCATCCAGTTGCAAAATAATTTGTGCATGGAAGAGATGTGGAAAAACTTCATATAGACAGCAAACCAACAACAAATAAACTATGAAAGAAAAATCAGTTTGTCAATTTCTCACTAATGTAATAAAAAACTAGAGGCTCTAAAGAGCCTGTGTCGCTCACCTTGGTCTATGTGCACATTAAACAAAGGACACAGATGGATTCATGACAAAATTGTGTTTTGGTGATGGTGATGTGTTTGTAGATCTTACTTTACTGAACATTCTTGCTCCTTACTATTATCTCTATCTATAATGAACTTGGCCCAGTAGTTACAGTGGAAAATATTTTGCAAAAATTTACAAAAATTTACAAAATTTATGAAAATTGTAAAAAATTGACTATAAAGGGCAATAACTCCTTAAGGGGTCAATTGACAATTTTGGTCATGTTGACTTATTTGTAGATCTTACTTTGCTGTACATTATTGCTGTTTACAGTTTATCTCTATCTATAATAATATTCAAGATAATAACCAAAAGCTGCAAAATTTTCTTAAAATTACCAATTCAAGGGCAGCAACCCAACAACGTGTTGCCTAATTGGTCTGAAAATTTCAGGGCAGATAGATCTTGACCTAATGAACAATTTTATCCTCGTCAGATTTGCTCTCAATGCTTTGGTTTCAGAGATATTAGCCAAAAACTGCTTTTTACCCTATGTACTATTTTTTAGCCATGTCGGCCATCTTGGTTTGCGGGCGGGGTCATCGGACACATTTTTAAAGGCAGTGCTTTAATGCCTTTCTAGTTGCCGGGTTAATCCTTCCTTTTGCGATATCCAACTTATCTACGTGGGGGGTCATTAGGCTCCAAGTAGATCCGGAAATGTTGAATTCTCTCCTCTTCTTATTGTGATATAAAATGTTTTTTGTTTCATTTCATTTACATTGGTAAATAGAGAAACGATCATTGTGTTTTGTTAGTTTTAAAAACTTTTGATATATTTGTATTTTGCATTATAAGCAGTCAACCGATTGACAAACTAGAATTATTTGAATTCCGTGTGGAAAGAGCTCGGGTTAATTTCGATTGTTATCTGCAATCTAGATGTTTATAAATCATTTCAGTCGTTGATATAATAATTAAGAGTCGACTGAACATTAATTATATTATACAATTTAAAGCGCATTTCTGTCTATGCACGTGAACCCGTCTAACGTTATTGTTATTTCGCAGTTATATAAAGTAGCAAATTATCGTTCCTGAATAGGTGGCGCCGTGGTAGCCGATCCTGTTCCTCAACTTCCGGTTTCTGCACTGTGCAACTATTTCAGTTACATTTTTAATTAACGATGCCAAGTACTGGTTGTTGTGTCCCTGGATGTCATTTAAGAGGAGGACATGCATTTCCAAATGACTTAAAAAGAAGGAAAAGTTGGATCAACGCCATGGCCCAAACGCAGATTGGACGAGAACACGATGAAATCGTGGAGTCCATCTCAATCAGCTGTTGTTTGCAAGGCACATTTTACTGAAAAAGACTACGTGCAGGAAACTATTCATGGTAAAACTCTATTTTCTTTTTGAAATATATAGTTATATATGTAATCGCCATGCGATTAAATCAAAGTATGTTTACAACCGCAATTATCGTTTTAGAATAAAAGGGGGTGGTTAATTCAAGACGTCATAATTTTTTGGATTACGATTCAATGTGATCTGTGTGAGATTTTTTGGTGATTGCTACAATTATAATGATTTCTTACAAGAGGTATATCATACTGAGAATTATTTTTAGCAGTAATTATGCTAATGTAGTAATGACAGGAATGCATAAGCTATGCCTCATAGACTTTCTTGAAAAACATCAATGACAATGTTAACAGGAACAAAACAGTGACATGCTCTCATCTATATTATAGTTATTTAGGTACAGACAATGTATGTTTGTTGCATAAGTCTCTCATTGTTTGTTCTTTGGATTTACATAACATACATTGAATCAGGCAAACATAGTTTTATCCAGATTGTAATGAATAAATCTAGTTAATATTTCGCCAGGTAATACAAAGTATACATTGCTAATGGAAGTTCATTTAATTATAAAAAAACTAATGTTTTATAACCTTTTTCAGGGCGCAAACCCACCATACAGAGACTTAAGTCTACTGCCATTCCCAGCCTATTTTCCTGGACCAAGCAAGAGACTTAATCGTCCGCAAAAAGAAAAATCAGGGCAGTTTCCTGTGAAAACAAAAGAACTAAACTTGATGAATATTGTAGTAGAAATCTAGAGGAAAGTTTTGATTGTAAAGTTGGTTTTCCTGAAGAAGTCATTCATACTGCAGAAAGGATTTATGACTGTCCACCACCAACTGCCGAGCTAATGTTGAGCTTCCAAGATGGAATTACGCAAACACCATCAATGTCTATGTTTTCAGCAGAGAATTTTGAAATGAAGACACGTGACACAGCTATGCATTTTTATACCGGTTTAGAGTTGTATACTAAATTTTTATTTGTTTTGACCACACTTTGTCCAACAGCACATTGTTTGAGATACATATATTTTCAAATTGATAGGGTGTCAGTTGAAAATCAGTTTTTTTATGACTTTGATGAAATTGAGGCATTATACAACCAACTTTGAACTTTCTAGATTCTAGATTGAATCTAGTGTTAAGAATATTGTGTATACATGGATTGTTTTTATGCCTAAACAGTGGTGTGAGGCTAACACTTGGCCATCTAGTGGTTTAGTCAGGCATTTTTCGCCATCCAACTTCAAATTAAAGTTTCCTACGACTTGGATTATTATTGACAGCACAGAATATCCCGTGATAAAACCTAAAGCTCCTAGAGCTCAGGCAACCTTTTCATCATATAAAAACAGAAACACTAAAAATACTTGTATGTTCAACGCCTGGTGGTTTAGTCAACTATGTCTCTAATGCATATGTTGGTTCTACCAGTGACTATGAAATAGTTGAAAGATGTAGAATACAAAATGTAGTTCAATTATGTGATCCAGGTGACAGTGTGATGGCAGACAAAGGTTTAAATGTGCAAGATTTGTTTGCTAACTTTTTTCAAAAAATGAAACAGAATTAGTTCCAAAACTCTTATACGGGATAGAAAAGTCTCCAATTAACATGTGCACATAGAGTGAATTATTGGACTTGGCAAAACATACAAAATTCTCACAATCTTATGAATGGAACTGAAACAAAACTTTCATCTGAAATAACATTTAGTTGTTTTATGTTGTGTAATTTTAGAACTTGTATTGTGCCAAAGGATGCAGAAATAAAAGTGACGCAATGAATTTTGTTCTGATATATATATATTTATAATTACATGCACATGTAAATTGTAATGCATATAAAAATAAGGAGATGTGGTATGATATTCAGTGAGTTTATCGAACTAAAGTGCATAAGAAATGGGTTTAAGCAGTTACAGGTGTTACTGTCACTGTACAGTCTCCAATAATGAGAAAAACTTGTACCGTGTAAAAAATTTCAGAGATCTTACCACTAAGTTTTGTTGTCTCACCTTGACTTTGATGAATTGTTTATATCTGTTGATGTAAATATAAAAAAGAAGATGTGGTATGATTGCCAATGAGACAACTCTCTACAAGAGACCAAATGATACAGAAATTAACAGCTATAGGTCACAGTATGGCCTTCAACAATGAGCAAAGCCCATACCGCACAGTCAGCTATAAAAAGCCCCGAAATGACAATGTAAAACAATTCAAACAAGAAAACTAACGGCCTAATTTATGTACAAAAAATGAACGAATATAACAAATATGCAACACATAAACAAACGACAACCACTGAATTACAGGCTCCTGACATGGGACAGGCACATACATGTACATACAGAATGTGTCGGGGTTAAACATGTTAGCGGGATCCCAACCTTCCCCCTAACCTGGGACAGTGGTGTAACAGTACAATATAAGAACAAACTATAAAAATCAGTTGAAAGAGGCTTAACTCATCAGATGGATAAATACAAATACAAGTGGACGTGGTCGGGTAGTTGTACATCCAAACAACAAAAAGACACTAAGTACAGATCTGAGAGTACTCGCAGTTACTGACAGCTAGTTCAAAGCCACTAACAACTGATAAAAAAATCTTGCATCTAAGACTAAATTATCAATCCGTAAGCTCCCTTTAGAATTTTATAAATTTTAGATTTTACATTTCTGAGTTATGGGGTTTTATTGGGATTTTCCAGTTTTTGTCGAGCCTGCGACTTTTGTCGCAGAAAGCTCGACATAGGGATAGTGATGTGGCAGCGGCGGCATTAGCTAACTTCTTAAAAGCTTTATATTTTAGAAGGTGGAAGACCTGGCTGCTTCATACTTTGTATATGGATACCTCGTGTTAGGAAGTTTCCGTCAGCCACATGTCCAAAGACCTTGACCTCATT